TATCTGAACTGCGAAGTCAGACGAGATGTGAGTGCGTCGGCTGACTTCAGAAGACGTCGCTCCGACCTGTGAGTCGTTCGGAGAGCCTTCGACGGCCACAGTATCAGGCCACGTCTCTGCTGCGTAGCAGAGCTCTGGAAGAATGCTTTAATCGAACAGGTGGGCTCGGAGCTCTGGGTTCGTAGCTGGTCTGTGGTTTCCTTTAGGGGCCCGAAGGCGGCCCAAGCTGCTCTTTGCCTCCTGTTGCGTTCTTCTTTCGTTCTCTATGTTCATCGAGCATTCGTGCATACGTAAGAAGACATCCCGCAATGGAGAGCCTTCTAGTTTTATTTCTTAATCCCCGCAAAACGCCTTTTTCATGAGCTCAGTCTTCCTTTGGTTAATTCGCAGTCTCACACTTTCCCCTACTTCGCCTTTACACATCGTCTCCACTTCAGTGATGTCGCTCAAAAAGAGAACAACATCGTCCGCAAAACGACGATTGAAGAGGGATCTTCCATCAATCTGCATGCCTCTCTCGTTCCATTCTAGTGATGTCCTCACCCACTGCAACACGGCAGTGAATACCTTTGGCGACACGATGTCACCTTGTCGAACTCTCATCGAAGTTGTTATGTTAAAGGTGCGATGGAAAAGCTGTACCGTTGTAGAGCAATTCTTGTAGCAGTCGGAGAACGTCCTCAAGTAAGATGGGCCTACCCATTGGTCGACGAGCGCTGAGAGATGGCATTATCTCGGTGATGGCAAACTCTTTCTCATAGTCAAAGAAAGTTAGGAAGAGAGTTAAGCGGTACTCGGGGCAAACCTCAATAGTCCTCTAACCGCCTGGATGTGATCCACGTAGCTGAATTCCTGAATACGAAATCCAGTGAAGGGATGATGGAACCAACAAGCGGAAGCCTATATATACTCAGTCATCGTTGATTATGTATTTTCACTACTTACATTTATTGCTTGGTCGCCTCATTATATATATCCGCTAATCTCTTGTGTGTAGGATAATTCATTGAATGTTATGCGTCATTGCATTTATTAATTCTGCTTATATGTTTGTTTGTTAGAACTTAATTGTTGAGTTATAATTACCCAAGTTTGAGGCATCGACGATAAACGACTGCC